CCGGGCCAGGCGGCTGCGGCCAGCTGGTACCAGTCGCTCCCAAGGCTGCTGCAGCAGGGGCTGTGGTGAGTGGGGCCCCAGCCCCACGGCCGTTTCCCCTCCCCCCACAGACTTATCTGCTTGTGGGGGGGGAAGGGGGGGCCTATGCCAATCACATAAGAGTGAATTTACCTTGCATATAACGAATTATGGGTCTAAAAATGCTCATCGCAGAAGAGTGAATATGCATATACAGAACCCACATAAATTGAGGGAAACCTGTATGCCCAGCGTGACTGCTCTGTCTTCTGAGCTAGTCTATAAAAAGGATGCCCCAAATCCTCAACTGTGGCAAATGTCTTTAAAAAAATGTGATAACTGGACACTGTATTCTGCAAAGAGCTGACGCTTTTGGATGTATGTGGGGAACACCTCCTGAATCAAATCTTTCAGGGGAGAGGAAATTACAAAGGAATAGTTTGTGGACCCCAACTGACCTTAGATATGAAATAGGCATCAAGGGGTGTGTCTACATAAGACAATTCTCTGTGCAGAAGACTAATCTACTGAGCAGTAAAACATCACTATTTAACCATGTGCTAGGCTACTGCACAGTAAAATTGGCTAATGCACAGTTATCTCCTACTTGAAAACAGAGGTAGTAGATTAACTTCACATTAGCTACTGCATAATAGCACATGTGTAGATGCTGGCTGGGAGCAATTTGCTCTTGGTCAGCCCAGGCAGCAGGTGACCCACTAAACCATACATGGCAGGAATGGTGCCAGCTGCAGGGAAAGCTATCTCCCTGCCATGTGGGGATCGGGACTGTCCTGATCCCCACATGGCCAGATGAGCTGTTCTGGAAGCTGGGACTGTTGCATACCAGCCAGGTAGGGATTGGAACCCAATCCCCACATGGTAGGGAGAAGTGTCCCCACCTGGCAGGGACAGCTACATGGAGATTGGGAAGGTCCCAATCCCCACATGGCTAAGAGAAGTGCCCCTGCCTGGTGGGGATGATGCCTGACAGCCACATGGGGATTGGGAGGGTTCCGATCCCCACATGGCTGTCCCCACCAGGCGGGGACTCCTCTCCCACCTTGTGGGGGGAACAGGACTCTCCTGATCTCTGAGTGGCTGCCAGGCAGTGTCCCCATGGGTACACAGTTCCTGGCCACGTAGGGATTGGGTCCAATCCCCACATGGCTGGGATGCAGCAAACCAGCAGCCCCCTGCCTCTTGCCAGCCCCAGGCTGGTACCTGGGGGAGCCTGGAGCTTCCCCTGGCTACTGCAATAGGGTAGAGCAGAGGAGTGGGGCAGGTACATCCCTGGTCCCACCTGCTCCATTTGGGAACAAATATGCTCTTTTTTAAATGCACAGTAGCTTTACTATGCATTAATAGCTCTTGTAAATGCGCCCACCCTGCATAGCCCTGTCATGGCTGAAGTGCTTCTGGGGCAGAAGCAACATGTTATGCACCTGAGGAACTTTAAGTTTCTACACTTATGTAGTTTAGGAGTATAACTGCAGCTGTGCAGGGGTTTTCAAGATCACAACTTTGTACTTCTATGCCCAAAATCCATTTAACTACCACTTAAATCCATTGAAGGCACTTCAGTTACTTTTGGATTTGGCTCCAAATTTTATCTTGGTTATACCAATATGAATGGCAAGCAAAATCTACCATATTATCTTGCATACAACACTCAGCTTTCCGCCCCAAAATTGACCCCGCGCCCCTCAAATTGGAGTGCACCTATTAAGCAGGGAAGCTGATTTTCTGGTCAAAGGTAGAAGCAGCACCCTGCTTTCATTCCTGCTCCATAGTGCAGCAGCTCTGGTAGTACTATTCAGGCAGCTAAAGGAGTCAGTTGACTTAATAGATCATTGTTCTTCACACCAGAGTTTTTAACAATCCTCTCCTTTTAATGATCTTATTGTTTTACTAATCAAAGTAGCATTTCCTAAGGTAATTCTGCTGTCTGCTAGAGAGCTCCTGGTCTCTTCTTCCATTTTCAGTTTTTTAGCTCTTTCAAAATTAAAATTCCTTCCATTGAGACCAGTCTTCAGCAGCAGCTGGGGCTTTATTTAAGCAGGAAAGGGAAGGTGAGTCAGCTAGATAGGGTTCTGCCTCTGCTCTATTCAGCTATAACTCTGGGGAAAAAAGTTTTCTCTTCATTCTGCCTTTCAAAAACAAGATGGATAATGTATCCAGGGGACAGATATCTGCAAGAAAATATGGTATATATTTTTCTTGCTGCATACCATATTCCCTAAGAAAATAAAAATTAATGTAATTGTAATAAATAATATGTATATTAATCAAAATATGGTAGTAGTTTAGTAAGTAAACAAAGCCAGGTAAATATTTAAACATGGGCTCATTTTAAAATGTTCAAAGGCTCGGTAAGGTCCTCTGAAAAATGTGCTTGTAGAACATAACCCTGACTGATAAGCCAGACACTTTTCCCTTGCAAATTTCTCTGCCTCGTGGACTGTGGATTACCTCTCTTTGATGCATTGTTTATAATGTACTCAGCAGCACAATATCTGAGTAATAAAATCTATAAAAGTAGATCCCAAAAAGGAGGTCTTTTTTGAAACAGGGAGAAATATGACTTTAATATTTTAAATTTACTGAAAAAACTTTTTTCTTTTTTAAGCTCCATGAATATTTACATAAAAGGAAAGTCTTTCTGCAAGCATCATTTTTTTCCAGCAGTAAATGCATTCAACCTTTCCCATAGAGTACTAGTCTAATAAACCAGCCACACCTATGCTTGCAGTGCAAAGGATAGGTTTTCCTCTTGAGAAAACAAACACAAAAATGTCTTCGTTTTGAATACTCACCTAATCTGTTGTGTACTGTACATACACAGCTGTCAAAGAAAATACTTTTTAGTTTTCACAAACATGAATCAGTGACACCACATGACTGATTGAATTCTATATAAAAAAAATTTTAAGTGAGCCTTTTTCCTTTGGTCTCTGAAATCGATATTATTCATAACAAATTCCTGTCAAAAGCACGCCCAATGCTTCAGGATATGGATAAATTAAAAGCAAAAATTGAGATAATATATCTAACAACACAATTAAGCCAATGCAGACAAAAAGAAGTCTGTTTACTGAAATAAGATTAAAAAGAAAGCACATTGTTATCAAAGCTTTCCAGGTTTAAACCTGTAACTAAGGCATGTGTTTGAACTTTACATAAAAGGGTTTGATCAAACTGGTTTTCAGAAGCACCCATACAACAGAATATAGGCAGAATTTAGGTACCTAAGTTTCAAAGAGTGATCCACTTTGGCTGTACTTCACTAAATTCTGCAAACGCTGATCGCCATTTGGTGCTGCAGAGTTCCCCGGGAGCGTGCACTGGGGCTTCTGGTCATGCTCAGAAGTGATATAATTCTATCACCTTGGTGCCTACTTCCCACTTAAACTGTTGTGATCCAATTGGACTCTGGGAAGTCTCAGCAGGGACCAAGTCTGTTAGGTGTACTTGGAGCACACTTCACTTGCACTGGCAACACTGAATTCAGTTTAAAAAATGGTGATGGGCTCACCTTTCTTTTGCCCAATAGCTTTGTGTTTTGAGCACTTACTCAGAAAGCAAGAGAACTGAGTGGTAAGCCTTCCTCATTCTCAGGAGGCTTTAACGCATATCTCCCACTTCCCAGGAAATGCATTCATCACCAGGCTAAATAAGCTAGGCAAGTGTGCTTTCCACTTCTTCTGTTGATGCTGGCTACTTAGTATCTTAGCATCTCCAACTCTTTCTCCTGCTTTTCCTTCACCTCATGAGATAACTCTAACTACTAGAGTTTCAGGGCAGGAGACATAAACATATGCTGAATCATCCTAGAGTTTAATATGCCCAGGTGTTCTTCATATCGTCAAGATAAATCTAGGAAACAATTATTTCTGTCATAAGTTTTTGGTGATCATTTCTGCTTATTTCTCAAAAGACTTAATCGAAGTCCAGAGCTTACAGAGGTTCAATAGTATATGCCAGGAAATAATACAATATTGAAGAAAAATAATATATTCATATTTCCTGCACCTAAAATTCACAGAGAAATATGGTATCAAAGGGATTGTTTTACCTTTTCTCTCAGGCATAATCTTACAAGCATAGCCACAAACCTTAAAGGAGATAAATATGAAATGAGAAAACAATGATTCAGGAAAGATTAAGATGCAAAAAGAAACTTCTCTGCTCAGCTGCACATGATAAAACATTATAATGATAGATTAGCTGTACTCCACCCATCTCCCCTATTAGCAGAACAAATAGCTGGAGGGCATCATATTTCCACACCATGAGCAATTTGGATTTGCACATATCATTTAATTTGGTCAGGAATTATTAAGTTGGCATTAAAATAAAAGAGAAAAAGAAGAAGGAAAAAAGTGAAAAAGATTCTGCTTGAGGAGGTGTGGACTATACTGCTGACCCACCCACTTAATTCTGTATATAGAGTCTCAGCCTGCTATCTGGTCTGCCATACTCTGCTTCATCTACGTGCTACGCTAGATCACAGCAACTTGAACACCATGGCACTCTCTGTGCGTACAGGGGGAGGATCCCGGCAATTTTCTTCTCGGAGTGCACTGGGTGGGGGATCCATTAGACTGTTCAATTCCAGTGGTGGAGGAAGCTTTGGTAGTAGTGGATTTGGTTTTGGTGGAGGATCTAGTGGAGGCTTTGGTGTTGCTTCCTTGCTTGGATCGAGTTCTGGCTTTAGCGGCGGCTTTGGTAGTGGCTCTGGTGGTGGCTTGGGCAGTGGCTTTGGTGGAGGCTTTGGTGGTGGATCAGGTTCTGGGTTTGGAGGTGGTGTAGGCAATAGCTTTGGTGGAGGTTTTGGTGGTGGCTCAGGTGCTGGGTTTGGAGGTGGCCTAGGCAATGCCTTTGGTGGAGGTTTTGGTGGTGGCTCAGGTGCTGGGTTTGGAAGTGGTTTTGGTGCTGGTGGCGGTAGCGGGGATGGCGGCCTTCTTTCTGGCACAAAAAAGGAAACCATGCAAAACCTGAATGACCGTCTGGCTGCCTACTTGGACAAAGTACGTTCTCTGGAAGAAGCCAACACTGAGCTGGAGCACAAAATCAGAGAGTGGTATGAGAAAAATGGCCCTGGTGCTGGCAGCCTTGGAGCAGGGAATGATTACAGTAAATACTATCCAATAATTGAAGATCTTAGAAACAAGGTAAAAAAATTCTCATATAACAGTTGCAACTTTTTACAATCTAAATTCATGTAATACTGTCCTGGATGAAAACTACATGAATTCTTTTGAGAAGCTGAAATCAAATTTGTCCAAAGTACTGCTGTTTGTAATAATCTTCTATACTATAGTATTTTTATTAAGAGTATTTTTGTAGTAGGGAGGGTATACAAAATATTTTCACAGCAATTGTGTAGTTGTATCCCTTTTAATGATGTGAATATACTTGACCTCATTTGAATTGAGAATGAGTGACAACTTTAACTAAGATTATTATGCTTCTTGATAATTTAGGCTTTTTTCAGAATACTATAGTTTTTGCTTCTTGCACCTTAAATTTAATTTCTGTAATAAAGGGTTATTTGATAAACTTTTGGGGGCCCATGGGAAGGGAGAGATTCTGGTAGTGTAAATTCATGTTACTCTATTAACTACAATGAATCAGTGCTGATGTATACCGGTCCTAAATATTTTGGTAATATGTAGTACAAGAGTCTACTGAATGTCCTCCCCATTATTTTATAACTAATTTATTTGAGCGTTAGGCCCATCAGGTTATTAAATATTTTTTTGTGCATTCTGCTTGTCTTCTAGATAATTAATGCAACCATTGACAATGCCAGAATCGTCTTGCAGATTGATAATGCCAGACTGGCTGCTGATGACTTCAGACTGAAGTAAGAAAAAATGTCATTGATGTTTTATATACACTGCTCAAATATATTTAAATTTATTCATTCTTAGGCAAATTTATTTTGCAATATTTAATGACATATTATTGACAAATATATTAATTATAGATGTGATATATTTATGTTCATTTAAAAAACTGAAATGGTAACAAAGGGTATAATATTTATTTGTAAATGGCTAGATTATTTGTATTCATATGACTTTTGATCCCAGTGAAAGTACAAAAAGCCTACTTAATGTTTCTTTTTTAAGATATGAGAATGAAGTGGCCCTTCGCCAAAGTGTGGAGGCTGACATCAATGGCCTGCGCAGAGTGCTTGATGAGCTGACCTTGACCAGAGCTGATCTGGAGATGCAGATTGAAAGTTTGAATGAAGAACTGGCTTATCTCAAAAAGAACCATGAAGAGGTAGACAGATTCTTGCTTCATGGTTTTAGTTTTCTCAGATACTGATTTGTATCTCAATTCAAAATTTACTGGAAAGGAAATGGAGGACACATCTCAGTATTTTATTTTTTTATGCCCTAGAGTAGTTCTGTGTGGTGTTGGTTTGAAGTTCGCTAAGGAAATCAGGAGGAGACACAAGCAGAAAGAAAGAAATTGTGGACTCTTCCTGGTGCCAGTATTACTGATTTTTCTCAATTTCAATACTAGAAATTTGAAAAGGAGTTTCTCTGTGAATATAAGGTTACATAGGGCACCTCTATCAAGGTATAATAGGTATGCTCAGATGGGTATGGACTAAATATGGCTCAATTTTTGCACCAGTGAGTTATGCTTTGTTTAGATCTAGTTTATAGAGTTGAACTCTTAACTTTCAGTCTTTGGGTAGTCAGCAACAAAATCATTTCCCAGAATCTCTTCAGTTCTTGTGTTTATTTTGGAAAGGCATAGGGAAACATGAAGCTGTCATCGGCATGTCTGTTTGTGCACAATGTTTTTAACTCCTGCCATCCTTTCAGCACAATGACTCTTAGTCTTCTGTCCATGTATTCCATGATGAATAAGTGAAAGGTGGTTAAAGCTCTCTAAGTATTCTTTTAAAAATATTTGTAATCACAACAATCTATATTTTTGTTTTCACAAATTTCTTTGTATTTGGTACACTTTTGGTGTATCTATTAAGAATCTATTTCAACTATCTGTTATATCAAAAATAACTTATCTAATAAGTATATATGTATATATGTTTATATACAGACAGTTTAAGTATATTCTTAATAGATATACCAAAAGTGTATAAAATATAAACACATTTATGAAAACAAACATATTTTCCCAGCTTGGGCAAATGATTTTCTTAAGATGAAAATTGATGAAGAAATTAACAAGAAAATCTGTGTGGTAAATGGAACAGAATATTGCAACTTACTGGTACCTTGTTCTTCAGTCATTTTTCTTACTAATATCATAGGTTATACAGTAGAAAAGAAGACTTCAATATAATATAGATTTGTCAAAAAAATATTAAAAAATGAAATTACAAGACTATTGGGTTGAAATTCTAAGGCAACTGTGGGTGCTTCTACACATTCATGAATGCACTGTAATTACAGTACATTAAGTTTAGGATCTGTAAAAACAGGTAGTAGGTTAAGGCGCCATAATCAGCACTATTGCACTTTAGTGCAGATGAACACTTTAAAAATTATTTTAATGCGTATTACATAATCTATTGTGCATTAGCACGGTTTTTGCCAGCCACACTAATGCACGGTATAATTAGGCTTCTGTGCATTCAGTGTCTTGTGTAGACTTGCCTTGTGATACCATGAAGGGAAATTCATATTTAAATGTGCTAAATGGTAAATTTAATTGTAAAGACTAGAGTAGACTAGATTAGACTAGCAAATCTTCCTGTGGAATTAGTGGGATCTTGAGTCACCCACTTTGTATATAACTTAAGGCTGATTATTGTGTTCCTTATTATACTAAAATATCTGTATTGCCTTTTATCCTTTTAGGAGCTTCAAGGTTTCCAAGGTAATGCTACTGGCCAAGTCAGTGTTGAAATGGATGCAGCTCCAGGAATTGATTTGACCAAGCTTTTGAATGACATGCGAGGACAATATGAAGCTATTGCTGAACAAAATCGTAAAGATGCTGAAGCATGGTTCAATGAAAAAGTAAATATCAGCAATAACAAATTCAGCCCTCAAAAGTTAAAAATAGAACAAAAATTTGTAACAACTGCATTATATGTTATTCCTTTTTCACATTTCAGAGTGGAGAACTCAAAAAGGAAATCTCCACCAACACTGAACAGCTTCAATCAGGAAGAAGTGAAATCACAGATCTAAAGCGCACTCTTCAGAGCCTGGAAATTGAACTACAATCTCAACTTGCCATGGTATGTTGCAATTTCCAGTTGCAAAAGTTGTGTTAACCCCTTATTATTATAAACTTTTCAATGTCTGCATTTAATTCTATTGTTAAATTCAGAATTCCTTTTAGTCCGTAGTACCTAATACTACCTAGAATCAGCAGATTGTAAATGATGGATAGTAGAACAAATGCATTGTTATGATTGGGTATGGTAGGAAAGGAGAATGGAAGTAGCAGAAGCAGGTTTTTCAAGTAAACATTTGAGTCTAAGAAGAAAATAAATTAAATGAAGATAGGTAATGAGACCAAATAAAACTTTTCCCCAATATGTTAGTCTACATTTCTTCATAATTTTTTAAGGAATCACTTTCTTCTCCCTAAAGTTTTCATTTAATCAATTATATGTCTTGTATGCAGAAAAAATCTCTTGAAGACACCTTGGCAGAAACAGAAGCAGGTTACTGTACTCAGCTTTCACAAATGCAGCTTCAGATTGGGAATCTGGAAAACCAGCTCTTCCAGGTCAGGGCTGACATGGAACGCCAAAATGCAGAATATCAGCAACTTCTAGACATCAAGACTCGGCTGGAAATGGAGATTGAGACCTACCGTCGTCTGCTAGATGGAGAATTTGGGTAAGTAAAGAATTGAAATTGACAACTGCCTTTTCACTCCAGTCCATGATAATACGCTTTCTGGGAAGTGGGAGCAGTGCAAGCAGATGGTCTACAAACCAATACAGAGAAAGACCTATAGCACACAAACAGTTCAACAATACATTTTTTCATCATAAAAGATACTGAAATAATTTTAGTCATGATAGGTAGCAATTCTTTAAATATAAAATCCATTTAAGAAGAATGAATAAATTTATCTTATATTTAAATGAATCAATGAATGTGGCAGCTTAAGTATATACACTAGCAAAAGGAAGCATGATTTAACAAGCTACACAATTTCAGAACTGAAAGAAATAAGAGTATTTTTACAAATACTATTTGTGATTATTTTCAGTGTTTCTATTTTGCTTTGGGCTGTTTCATGACATTTTTATTTTCATGTTTTATCAGTGAATTTATCGATCCAATGCCTCACTAAGAATTTACTGCAATAGACATAACAAGGGTGTCAAACTCACCTGCACCCCTGGGATGGATCCATACTGAGAAAAACCTTGCAGGCTGGATCCAGACCCAGCAGTGGCAGGAACAAGAGATTACAGCAGCTGTTGCTCACCCTTTCCCCGGTTACCACCACAGGTCCCCAGTGGGGCTCTGCAGCTGGGAATCTGGTGGCTGACTCCACCCCAACTCACCCCACCCCTAAATTCCTGGCCTTTCTAGGATCCCCATAACCTGGGTGAAATGGCTTTTTAGGGCAGATGTGGCCCATGGGCTGTATCTCTAACACCCCTAACAGTATGTTTTCTGAAAAAGATTGAACTTCATAGTGAATGCTTTCACTGGTCTGACAAGGCAGGGTTTCAACTATACTGACCAATCCTAGTAGTATAATATCATAATTTTTTTGGATTAAGTTTTGACCTATGTTGCTTGGGGTATCAGCTTAAAGTAAAGAAAAAGAAATCAAATGGAAATGATATTGCTCCTGTGTCTCATGATCCTGATAAATATTATGCAATAATATATATGAAGGCTGCTCAGCCCCCTCAGCCAGATCCAGCCAACAAAGCCATATCAACCAGCTTGCAAGGGTTCCCCATGGATCTGAAAATTTGTTTGTGAGGGATCAGGAGCAGCTCATTGTCATTCCCTTGCTGCTATATTTCTGGACATATTAGTGCAGGCTGATGAGTGCTGCTGATGAGTGCTTGCCATATTCTGTGGGGAGCCCTGCAGGCCAGATAGCATGACTCTACATGTTAAATTGGTCATTCAGGGTAAATCAGGGTGGTATGAAGCCAGTAGTAGTGGCTCAGGGCCCCAATCAGAGTGGTGCACAGGACCAACTGGGGTACCATCCTGGCACACAAGGTTTAATCCAGCCCATGGACCAGCCCCATGCCATTCATCCAGCCCGTGGGTCCAAAAAGGTTTAGCAATATTGATATGCACCTATGATTTTCTTGCAGAACTGGGGGACAAGGACTTTCATTTGAAAGCTCATCTTTGACAGGCTCCAAATCACAAACTCAATCACTAGATTCTTCTCAAGGTAGGTAGATTTTCCTGGGCTAAATTTCTTTTTACAAGCAATGTATTAACCCTGACCATTAAACTTCAAGTGAAAATTAAATTAGTTGTGCACATATTACAACTGACTAATGTGTACTGTAGTTACAGAATGAGCATTAATATCTGCATAAGGGTGAAACACCCAAATAAAGTTATTTAAAAATCTTTTATAGTAAAATTAATAAATGTCATTCAGTTTTATTATACTGAAAAGTTAATCAAAGAAGAAACTATATATTTTCCTAAAGAAAAGTTAAGGAAAGAGTCACTTCTCTGTGTATATACGTTTGCTTTTTAATTTTAAGCCTTTGATAAACTAAACTTTTAAAACAATGTTTAGATCCAACAAAAACTAGAAAGATCAAGACAATTGTTGAAGAAGTGGTGGATGGTAAAGTTGTCTCATCCCAGGTTAAGGAATTTGAAGAGAAGATGTAAGCAACAGCCTGGTACTGCAAAGGATCTATTCATTCAGTTTCTTCTTTAAGAAGCATTAATGAAAAGATACAACTTGGAATCTCTGTTCTTTTGGTTGAGGTGATAAGTACATTGAATCTTCTTTTCTTTTCATTTTACTAAGATTCTGTTCCACAAAGCAAAAAGTACATTTTTGGATTCTGTGCAGTTTGGTAACCCAATAAACATGGTGTTTCAACTTATATATACTGGTCTTTATTTCTTTCCCAGTGTATTCACAATTTCATCTGTTGTCACTGCTTTGATTAATACCTGAAAAATGCCATGCATTTTAAGTACTGGGTTCATTATGCAATAAGTTTTTTATTTCTACTTTTGTTAAGTAATAGATAGGATTACTTTACTATTGTACAGACCCCTTACTTAGTTTTCTTGGGTATTAAAAAATTAAGAAACCAGCTTTTATAATAGGAGCACTAGGCCTGTGCGAAGCGTATAGTATTCACCTCGGATTCGGCCAATTCAGGGACAGTGATTTGATTTGGTGATTCAAATCACTATCCTGATTCGATTCAGCCAAATCTGATTCAGAGATTCAGCTGCAGCTCCCAGCTAAAGTGTGGTTAGCTTTGCTGATGATTTTGTCAGACTGACAACTCATGTTCATCTTGGAGTCCACTATGACTCCAAGGTCCCTTTCCACTTCTGTGCTGCTAAGAGGGTCGTTTCCTAGCCAGTATGCTGTGTGCTGGATATTTTTGTGCCCTAGGTGCAGCACTCTGCACTTGTCCTTGTTTTACTGGATCTTATTATGTTCTGCCCACTTTTCCAACCTGTCCAGGTCTGCCTGCAATCATTCCCTAACCTCTGGGGTGTTCACTTCACCCCACAATTTAGTATTATCTGCAAACTTGGACAGAGTACACTTCACACACACATCCAAGTCACTGATGAAGACATTGAGGAGTACAGGTCCAAGGGTTTGTGACACCACAAACCACACGCCCCTGCTCATCTGGATGTAGCCTACTTGTCTATTCTGATAATTACATCTTGTTTCTCTGGCTTGTTATAGACTATGGGAAATACACTGCACCACTGAGTACTACTTTGATCCCAAACTTAAACAGTGTTTGTATGTGCTATGCTTGTTTTACAAATGCTTTCATTTCTTTCTTAAATGAGGAATAGAATTGAACACACACATACATTCTATGTGATGAAATGCTAAACCAAAGAAATGTATGTGATTAGTAACTACAATTCTGAAAGGGTGCTCATTAGGGCTGTGCAAAGCTTTGGGTGGTGATTCAATTCAGAGGAGATTTGGCCCGATTCAGTGGCCAAACCTCCGAATCCGAATCAAATCAGGGGATCAATTTAAAGGTCCGAATCAAATCAAAGCTCTCCAAATCTTTGGCAAAGATTCAGAGAGCTTTATCAGCAGATGCATGACAAATAGAACCAAGGACGTGATACTTCCCCTCTATGCGGCACTGGTCAGACCGCAGTTGGAGTACTGTGTCCAGTTTTGGGCGCCGTACTTTAAGGAGGATGTGGATAACCTCAAGAGGGTCCAGAGGAGGGCCACTCATATGGTTAAGGGTTTACAGGCCAAGCCGTATAAGGAGAGGCTAAGGGACATGGACCTCTTCAGCCTCCGCAAGAGAAGGCTGAGAGGTGATATTGTGGCCACCTACAAATTTATTAGCGGGGTGCAGCAAGGGATCGGAGATGTTCTGTTCACCAGGGCGCCTCTTGGGGTAACAAGGAACAATGGTCACAAACTGACAGAAAGCAGATTTAACCTAGACATCAGGAAAAAACTTCTTCACGGTAAGGGTGGCCAAAATTTGGAATGGGCTTCCAAGGGCAGAGGTGCTTTCCCCTACCTTGGGGGTCTTTAAGAGAAGGCTGGATAGGCATCTGGCCGGGGTCATCTGAAAGATTTTTCTCCTCCACAGAAAAGGTTCTGGTCTTCCAGAGGATACGAGATATTGCCAGGCAGAATGATTTTGCAGTGGCTAGGGCTACTCGTATTGCCCCTTTATATAGTCTTTGGAAATTAGATTGTGGGGGGGGAGAAAGGTACTTACAGTTGGATCTCAATAAGAAATGACAATACCCTTTGACTAGACTCAGGACTGTACAGATGCCCACAGCTGTTCTGGCTGAATGTAGATTTTCCATTCCGAGGGCTAAAAGATGTTGCCCAGTCTGTCTAGGAGTTTTGGAAGATACTATCCACTATGTTTTAGAATGTTCTTTATATAATGATATAAGGAGAACCTATCTATTACTGTTCTTGTAGAAATTGATACATTTTTCAAACAGAGAGAAATTAATCTGGCTTTTTACAGCAAACAGATCCAAATTTAGTAAGTCATCTTACAATTTTTGCTTATAAGGCTGAGGCAATTAGAGTTAAATATCCGTTATTACTGATATGAGTGGTACATTTTAACATTAAATTTGATTATATTGTCTCAATTGTGGATCTATATATAACAATATTATAGATCCATGTCTCGATTTACTATTACATTTATATTAATAATGTTTTTATGTTGGTGGGCTTTATTTTTAGTATAATATTTGTAGTTCAGTTACTTTGTTTGAACTTATTTATATTATGGTCATATGTGTGTTATGCCGTTTTTGGGAGCATGGCATTTAGCCAGAATCCTTAATAGTAAATTGAAAGAAAGCTTTATAGTCAAGACAGTTAATTCAACAACATAATGCTTCACACATGAAGAACCAATCTTAGGGCCTTGTTACACCTTACACTGAGCCACACAAAAGCTGATTGGTGTTAGTGCTAGTTTGAGTTTGGAGCATTCACACTTCAGGCCAGCAGGGGTCTAGAGGACTGAAAAGTAAGAATCCACTGCCCTCCCATTCTGAGCTTCCCCCTGCCCCCTCCCCCCCTAATTGTGGCTGCCCATGCAGTCTATCCTGGGGGAGCAGATGAGGAAGAGCTAACCTACCTACTTAACAAAAGCCCACTACAGGGCTGCTGCTCTTCTCTGAGCTGGTCCCATCACAGAGCAGTGGCAGCACTGGGGGCTGGGCAGGCAGGTTAACCCTTCCCTGCCTGCTCCCCAAGGAGAGATAGCACAGGAAGCCATAAGGAAGTGCAGCAGGATGGGGTAGAGGGTAAGTTAGTGGAGATCTGAGGTGCTTGTGCAGGACACAGTGGGCCCAATCCAGGCCAGTGGGGAAGGTGAAGCAGGTAGAGTGTTTATACTAAGGTGTAGCCTAGAGTGGCTGCACCTTAGCTTAACACGAGATGGATAGCATGAATCAGAGAAAATGCTGCCCTGGAGTAGTATAACTTTAAGCCACCTCAAGAGTGCTTAAACCAGTTTCAGGTGTTAATGTGTGGACAATCCAGAGGTAAAGAACTCTAGGCGCTGCCCAAAATTACCATGCAACAAGGCCCCTCAGATCATAAATGAAGTTGTACTTTTTATTTTGTGATCTGTCTATTTCTGTAAAGAATTTGAAATGTTTATAATAAAATTATATAAATAAAAAATATTTTTGCTTTTTATAATAATTATTCATATTGGTCACCTACTCTAAAGTCCTAGAGCAGGGGTGTTATACAAATAGCATAAATGCCAGCTAGATGTTAGGAAATAGACTTTTGCCTATTGCTTTTAATTTAATATATTTTCTTGAGTTTTGCATTGCCTTAAGAAACTCTATTTTTTATTGCTCTGTATCTTGACATAAGCGCTTGACCTTTTTTTTTTTGTATGCTGTATGGGTGAGAGTGTGTTTGTGGAAAAGCAAAACATCAGCTGGCGACTGGCTGAAGAATGCAGACAGATAAAAGACCAAATAAAAAGAATCCACCCCAGAACAGCGAGAAGGCAACGGCAATTGACCTTCAAAAAAGAAGACAGTGATAACCCAGGAAAGCCCAGAGGCCTAGGTGAATTGACAAGGCTATAAAAGATGGGGCAAGACATATTGATTTTGGGTCTCGTTCTGCATGTCATCCTGGAGCATCACTTCATCTGACAAGATGGACCGACAGGAGCCCAACTTCCACTTGTGATCAACTTGGCTGGCCACTAATAAGACTGATAAGACTGGTAAGGTATACTAGTGCAGAATAGAAATCGGAGTATGAATGTGGTGGGGAGAGGGTGTGTGTGTATTAAGAGCTTAATTAATAAACGTGGCATCTTGCCTTATCCTCCCTCATAAGGTCTCACTCGTGATTTGAGCAATTGGCAATTTGTGTAACAGGGGTGTCAAACACACAGACCACAGGCTGGATCTGTGGCAAGCCACTGGAAGTTGCGGGGTGTGGCTTGGTGGCAGCGTGGGGAAAGTGACCTGCTGGAGAATTCAGGGCTCTTGGGCCCTAGTGGACATGAAAACAAGTGGCAGGAGGGTGACTGAGGATTGACACAGCCCTTCTGACTGTGTTGCCTGTTACTATTGCCACACCCTTACTTCCCTACTGCTGGCATTGCATGCCCCAAGTCAGAGCCAGAGCTGTTACTGCCACGCCCCCCCTGCCATCTCCTCATGCCCCTGACTAGATCTGGCCTATAAGGAGCACACAGTCCAGATCCGTCCAGGGCACATGGTAAGTTTAAAACTCCTGCCCTAGAGTACAGGTCACATTCCATTATGGGATTTCCATTGCAGAAGTAGGGCATAATAAACGGCACTGAATGTTAATGAACAGCCTGACTGGCACATCAGAAAACTGAGCAGCTATCAAGAATGTGCTTTATCAGTAAACACCCTCCCAGAGAAAGCAAAGAATCCATATAAAAATGTGATAGCATTGCAGGGAATGTTCCCTACAAGCAGTGCATTGTCATAGTGTGGTGTGCTAAAAGCAATACAAAGTGACATATGTGGCTTGTCCAGTAGTTGGGTATGAAATGAAGAGAGCCACAACATATGGAATGGCATTCCCTATTTCCCAACATTGGAGTTCCCTGTTAGCTGCATCCACTTAATGCCTAAAATCAGGAAATGAAAATAGCTCACAAAGGGCAGAAGCAGACAAACTTTCACTGCCACCAGAGAGAAAGATGCTTAAAATGATCATTCTTTTTGCTGCACCAGGAATGTCCATGATCACATGCTTGCTGATCATGCACATAAATGTTGAGAGAATGCACACACACGCACATTCTGCC